TTGTGACCCCCCAGTGACCTGACCTCTGTGACCTGACCTGGTATCAGTGACCTCAAATAGCAAAATATGTGTTTGAAGAACATTTCCCCATCGATGATTTTCAATGAAATGCATTTTACTCGATTTTACAACGCATTTCTTGAAATGCCTGTAAACGGTGAAAATTCGACCTTTGACCTGACCTGTGACGTCATCGGTTTGACCGAGGTCAATGAAATTGGGTCACAAGGTAGTTCCCCGTTGGGGCTATCCAAACCGTTTACCGCTTGTCGCTATGTTGCGTGGTTCTCGAGATCTGAGGGGGGGGCCAAAATGCCCCCCCCCCCCCATCAGACTGCGTTGCTCGGCAGACCCCATCTGGGCGCGGGTTAACCCTCGCCCATGTAGGGGGGGGGTTGGTGCAACCCCCCCCCCCCTGAGGCTTTTCGGAAATAGTGCAAAAACGGCGGCGCGCAGCGCCGCCAAATTTTGGGTACCTTATGGGGTAAACCTTGCGCATCTTTTGATAAAAAAAATTGACCGGGTCATGTCAGGTCACGGAGTTATGACGTCACAAAGGGAACAGCCTCCGGCCGGATTTTCACAAACTGAGTGCCAACGCCCGAGGTTTCCTGCCGGTGGTACGGACATCGGTTGATGGATCGTGATGAAACTTCCCATGCATGTTGGGGCAAGTATTGGCTATCATATGGTATAAGAAACTTGACCGGGTCAGGTCAGGTCACGGAGCTATGACGTGACAAGAGGAACAGCGTCCGGTACTATTTTTGAAAAGCGCCCGAACCACTATTTTGCTAATTCTTGTCACCTCAATGGGAATATGCAGCAATATTAGCTTCTATAGGGAGCAAATGGACCTCCCAAATCCAAAAATACAATCAGATTTCAAAAATTTAAATTTTGATTTTTCGAATTTCTGCCGCCGACTGTGACCTTGCCGACTTCCGGCGCTCCCAACGCGCCATTTTTAGAGCTAGGGAAACGAAATACATACCAAACGATAGAGAATTGATCAAGGAACACGATAGTGCAGGTTTCAAGTCGATATCTCCCACCGTTTTGCCGCAATCGCCGCGGAAAGTTGAAAAAGTCTATTTTTCCGAAAATTTGACCTTTGACCGGTCAAAAGTAGGTCAAATGTTGACCTAGGACCAAAAAACATACCACCAATCGCGAGATCTCGGCGAGAGCAATCCGTTGGTCTTTTCCGCTAAGCTCTACGACGCTCCGTTTTCAAACGCCAAGGGGGGGGGGGTCGCACCAACTGCATGGGCGAAGGTGGCAGATCGCCGTTTACGGGCGAGGGTTAAGTGTGAACATGCTAGAATGTTTAAATGTTTATTTTGACCTTAACTGTGACGTCTGATCAGTGACCTCCGAGGTCATCAGACGTCGTTTAAATTATGGCTATCGGACCATTACTTTCGAAAATAAGAGGTGGCCTGGCCTATCTATATAGCCTACCCCCCCCCCCCCCGCAGTCACTCGCGTTATGGAATACACCCCTCCCCCCGCCCGTAGGCATTGGTGGTTTGCCAGCCGCGAGCGTATAAGGGGGAGGGGTCCGTTGGACACCCCTTGTCGTTTCGCCCCTGATCGAGCTAGACCTTCATGGAAAAACGAACGTGTTGCCCGTGACGACAGGAAGTCGATGATATCCAATTTTAAGGTCCTAGGTCATTGGTTGACCTTCCAGATCAGGTCAATGACCCAAAAGTCGGGAAAATCGGGACCTGTTAAAACGTCATAAAGTGTCGCTGCTATGAGGTATTTCAGAATCAGGCTGCTGATCACGCATATCGTGTTAGTTTTGGTCACAGATGATGTCTTCATGCATTTAGGCTGATCGGATCAGGTCAGGTCAGGTCAACCAGCAGGGGTCCTGCCGGGTGTTCGAAGTGTCAACCGCCTCTGACAGCTTTGAGCTTAGCTTCGTAACATGTTACGAAGGCACCGAAACTACTTCGTAAATGTCTAAATGGTTGCTAAATTTAAATTTAGCTCCAAAAACTAGCCCAGCCTAGAAACATGTACCTACCTAAAACTCGAAAAAGTGAACCGAGATCATCAAAGGTCAATGACCTGACCTGACCGTCAGGTGACCTTGACACCCATCCTTATGCATGGGAGCGAGCAAGGCAACATCATATCACATGTTTGAACGCTTGAAACCACGAAAAGACTGCAAACGCGCGTGCGAGCCGACATACATACCTTCGCCGAATCGCGATTTCGGCCAAACATAGGCCTCGTTTCATAAAGCGAGTCCGTAAGTTACGGCGGTTTTTGGAAAACCGGCGTAAGTTACGGACTCACTTTATGAAACGAGGCCATGGTCTCGAGAAATAGGTCACAGGTTAAAGGTCATTTGGGTCAGGGTCATGAAATTTTCAGGGTAGGTGTAAAATGGATCAACTCGAGGGAACTGCAAGTTAGGTAAGTCGCGATTGGCCGCCTTTTACGCTAATTTTTCGCAAAAAAACGGGGGTCCGTTCGACCCCTCCCCCCCCCCCAAACACACGTACCGACGGGGGGCGGATATCCGCCCCCCCCCCCTGAGGTTTTTTGCGAATAGCGGAAAAACCGTGGCGCGTAGCGCCGCGAAATTTGGCACGACTATTCTCTCATCAATTTTACACATGGTGTGCAAGATTGAACCTCCTAACTCTTAAGGTCAGGTCACCAGGTCACATTGAATGACCCGACCTCGTCACTTTTTTGCAACTTTGTCACCGTGCCAGAGCTACAGTAGATGTCGAAGGCCTTTGAAAGTCGCAGGATATTATTAATTCATTAGTAGCTACAATTTGTATATCTCGGAATTTCGATATCGGTTTGCGCGAGTTATTCGCGAAAAACCATGGGGGGTCCATCCGACCCCCCTCCCCCCCTACACATGCGAGGGTTAAAAATATGTAAACACACGAGTTACAGATAAATTAGATCATAAACCTCCGGATACCTCGGTATACAGAGCTCTGTGATCAGCTGAAACAATATAGAACTAACCAAACGAGGATCGTGGACTGTGGTAGCTGCAAGGTGTGCCCGTGTGGTATCATTAACTGCTGGCACAGGTAATCAACAGCATCAGTCTCTCCTGCATTTTCGTATCCATAACCTTGTATCCCGACCAAGATAATGTTAAGTCCATATTACACTCTTTATGTTACCATGGTTTTGTAGTTGTCTTACACGGAGTTGATCTTTACATGTCAAGCTGTTAGCAGCCTGTATTCTAGCAGTCTTAACTAGCCCAATTCAGCCCCCCCGCGCGTCCGGCACCTGTTGATGCTTTCTTATGCCTGCCTGTTCTCCGCCAACAGCTGCCTCAGCACCGTGTTCAGGTAGCTGACCGCTGTCGACGCGTTGAGCTCTCCGAATGTCGCCGGTCTCAGATGAGGGACAAATATAGGGGAAGCCGAGGGAAGCCCGGCATAGTAAGCTCTTTTTCATTTTTATTACATACCATACGTGCTGTATAAAATGTTGATATGTTGTTAGCTAGATAAGTTAATTGGCCGTGTTTTCCCAAAAAATTGGTTTCGTGGAAATAGTATGAGGTTGAGAAAATCGAGTTTTAAAAAATTGTTGATTTTTCTGGGGTAAGCCCGGCATAGGTAGGGGTAACGCCGGCTGACGCCGGCCACCTCCCCAGCGCTTTACAACGAGTTGATGAAATCACTGGGCCTGTTCCAGCGCCTCCAGTAGAAATTCTTGACTGGAGGCTCTACCCGAGGTTTCACTGGAGGCGCTGGAATGCAATCTGGAGATTTCTGGAGATTGGCGTCATAGATACCAAAAGAATGACGATTGTTCTCTCTTGAAACACAAAATTTGTTTTCACTTTTAGTAAAAAAAGATTACCAAAATTATAGCAATGTAATTTTCATTACATTCAAGTTGTAAAATTATCAGTCAAAAGTTTTTTGTTTACATTCCTGATTGTCACATGTGCGCCATAATTGTAGACCAGAGCCTCCAGAGAAATTTGGACCTCCCAACTCTCTGGAGGCTACTGGAGGTTTCTGGAGCTTTGGCGAGAGCTTTCTGGAGCTTTCTGGAGGCGCTGGAACGCTCTCTGGAGGATTCTAGAGCTTTCTGGAGGTTTTTGGAGGTTTCTGGAGGCGCTGGAACAGGCCCATTATGTGTCTTCCAACTATTGACGGAAAGTGACATATTAAGGCACTGATTAGCTCTGGACATCTTAGAGTTTATGTCACTACTAGTATTTTAGCTGGCGTCTACCACACAGTCATTGTTTATTCACCAGGACCTGAACAGCTGTCCACCCCGCCCCCTCCTGACGTACCGAGCGTCTCGAGTTGGAGCTGCGCCTCTGCCAGCACCTGTCCGGCTGCAGGTTGGCCTACTTCGTCTGGACGCCCGTCTGTACCGGGTTCAGACGGAGGGCCGTGCGCAGACAGTCTCTGTCTCTGTCTGTCTCTCTGTCTCTCTGCCTCTCTGTCTCTCTGTCTCTCTGCCTCTCTGGCTCTCTCTCTCTCTTTCTCTCTCTCTCTCTCTCTCTCTCTCTCTCTCTCTCTCTCTCTCTCTCTCTCTCTCTCTCTCTCTCTCTCTCTCTCTCTCTCTCTCTCTCTCTCTCTCTCTCTCTCTCCCTCTCTCTCTCTCTCTCTCTCTCTCTCTCTCTCTCTCTCTCTCTCTCTCTCTCTCTCTCGCTCTCTCATCAGACATATTTACATCACTAATCATTAGCACTAGCACGTCACTATAAAAGTGATCTCACCCACCATCGACATATAGGTACACGGGTTATTGGATGTGGCTACCGTGAACAGAAATAACACCCATCCAACGCAGTGGTCAGAAGCCAAGGTAAATGTTTGTCGCTGAGTCAGTCGGTCACGGGACCGGGCCGCGTCACCGGATGTGGCACCTCTGGCAGAGGCCAGCCGCGCCGAGCTCTGCAGATGTCCTGCCAACTCCGAGCCGTCAGTCCGAGAGCGGCAGCCGACGCCGCCGGCACCTCCTGCCAATCCAGCATGGCAGTGTACTCAGTGATCGGTGTGATACTTGTCGTCTGGACCGCCCTGGCCGGGCGGTCCGCGGCGCAGCAGCAGCAGCCGGCCGCCCTGCCCAGCGCCACTGCCGACGAGGTGTACGGCTACATCGCAAGAGCAGTTCAGCAAGAGCTCCAGCCCGTCGTCAGCAAGCTCGAGTCTCGAGTAGAGTCGCTGGACAAAGTCGTCAGCAGACTCGGGTCTCGGGTGGAGTCGCTGGACAATAGACTGACTCTACTCGACTCTCGAGTGACTGAATGGACCACCCACATTTTGAAGAGCAGACAGAGTGAGCAGATGGAAGAGCTGTCCACTCAACTGACTGCAATCACTGCCAGACTCGACAGCCAGCAATCACAACTGAACCAACAAAAATCACAACAAGAGGAGACCGCAGCCACAGTGAACAAGCTCACGGCGCAACTGGATATCATCGTTACACAGCAAGGAGATCAACTCACACAGACGTCCCAACTGGCTACGAGGCTCGACAGCCAGCAATCTCAACTGAGTGAGCTCAACACCCAGCTGAACGAACAAAAAACTACTCAGCGTGAGGTTTCAGTCAGAATGGATAACCTGACCTCCCAGGTTGACATTCTAGGATCCACGCTGACCGGAGCTAAAAACAACACATCATCCCAACAGGAGCGTATTGATGGCCAAGCTGCTAAGGTAAACCATCACCATCCTCCCCTTGACTGCAGCGGCCTGCCTGTCAACTCGCCATCTGGAGTCTACCTCCTTCGGCCCAGTGGTAACAACACACAACCACCCGTCGAGGCCTACTGTGACATGGATACTGCCGGAGGGAACTGGACGGTGATCCAACGACGAGACGATATCAAGCCCCACCAGTACTTCTACCTCGGATGGACCGACTACAAGGAGGGCTTTGGTAATGTTACCAAAGAGTTCTGGTGGGGCCTAGAGCACGTTTATCAGCTAACGTCATCAGACCGACAGTTCGAGCTCCGCATTGATCTGGAGGCTTTTGACGGTAATAAATCATACGCTGTATATCAAGGGCTCAGCGTCTCGTCTGAGCTGGATGGGTACAGACTGAGATATACCAACTACTCAGGAACTGCCAGGGATGGTCTGTACTGGAGCGTCAATGAGAAGTTCTCTACCCATGACCGTGACCAGGACTCGTCTGTCCGCCACTGTGCACAGCTCAACCAGGGGGCCTGGTGGTACGGCGGGAGGTGGTGCGGGTTGAGCAACCTGAACGGACGGTACCGGGAAGGCGGTGATGTGGACCTCACTGGAATATGGTGGCGGACGTTGAGGGGACTGGAGTCACTGAAGAAGACAGATATGAAGATCAGGCCAACGTACTAATCTACACACTAACCCTCGCCCGCACATGCCATTTTCCCATCCTATAGAACGCATATGGGGGGGGGGGGGGTTGCCACCCCCGCGCCATTTCGTTCCTGTTGGAGATAGAGCTTCGCGGTAAAGACCAAGAGATTCTTTGGGATGAGACGAATCCAATGATACGCAGTTTTACCTTCTCAGGTCAGTCATTGACCTTCCAGGTTAGGTCAAACTAAAAAATGTTGGCGTTTTGGGTCACCGTTGGATATCAAGTACGCTGCTTAGTGCTTATCATATACCGATGGCGATGCCGTTTTCTGGTGCCAAGCCAGCTAGAACCTCTTTGTCGCACTACCCGACCAGGTTTTTGCTGCTGAGGTCATGTCAGGTCAAGTTAGGTCAAGGTCAATGATATGTGTTTGTATGTCTGTGTGTGTCTGTGTGTATATTGATGTGTGTACCGATTGTTTATGTGTCCTATTACATGAAATCATGATCTGAGAAGCTTTTATCAAAAATGCAATCAAAAAACTTCACGAAAAGTAAATTCAGCTTGCCTAAAACGCCATTATTCTAGATGACCTAGGTTGACCTTGACCCTGAACTTGACATCTGTACATCGTCGAACAACATGTTCCATGATACGTGGGAGGTAAGACTGGCAAAAAAGGCCGAAAACAAGGTGTCAAAAGCTCACAAGGCCCATAGCCAACGCAAGATGTTCAGCATTGGTCATTTGGGTCATGACATGACCTGAAAAACAAGGTCATATCTCCGAAACCAAAAGCACAGAAACTTGAAAATTTCAGTGGACATCAAGAAAGGATAGAGGAGCAGCTATACAAAAAATCCGGCTTCTAGCTCTAAAAATGTGAGTGCAGAGCAGAAAAACTACCTGGGGGTGGCAACCCCTCCCCCCCCCATGTGCGGGCGAGCGCTAAGGAGAACATCACAGTGGTGTAGACACCCCGGTGACATGTGTACAGAGCCGGTGTCACGGTATTTACTCGAACACTAACAATGTAGTTAGTAGGGTTAGAGTGTGAAGTTCTTACTTACTCAACTCAAGTGATGTAGGGGAGAGAGGTCATATTGCGCCACCTTAACCCTCGCACGACCAGGCCATTTCTCATAACACGAACGACCAGGGGGGGGGGGTTGTTACGACCCCCCCCCCCTGGCGTTTCGAAACGGAAGGTCGTAGAGCTTAGCGGAAAAAACCAACGGATTGCTCTCAACGAGATCTCGCGATTGGTGGTATATTTTTTGGTCCTAGGTCAACATTTGACCTACTTTTGACCGGTCAAAGGTCAAATTTTCGGAAAAATAGACTTTTTTCAACTTTCGGCGGCGATTGCGGCAAAACGGTGGGAGATATCGACTTGAAACCTTCACTATCGTGTTCCTTGATCAATTCTCTATCGTTTGGTATGTATTTCGTTTCCCTAGCTCTAAAAATGGCGCGTTGGGAGCGCCGGAAGTCGGCAAGGTCACAGTCGGCGGCAGAAATTCGAAAAATCAAAATTTAAATTTTTGAAATCTGATTGTATTTTTGGATTTGGGAGGTCCATTTGCTCCCTATAGAAGCTAATATTGCTGCATATTCCCATTGAGGTGACAAGAATTAGCAAAATAGTGGTTCGGGCGCTTTTCAAAAATAGTACCGGACGCTGTTCCTCTTGTGACGTCATAGCTCCGTGACCTGACCTGACCCGGTCAAATTTCTTATACCATATGATAGCCAATACTTGCCCCAACATGCATGGGAAGTTTCATCACGATCCATCAACCGATGTCCGTACCACCGGCAGGAAACCTCGGGCGTTGGCACTCAGTTTGTGAAAATCCGGCCGGAGGCTGTACCTCTTATGACGTCATAACTCCGTGACCTGACATGACCCGATCAATTTTTTTCGGCAAAAGATGCGCAAAGGTTGCCCCAGAGGGTATTGAAAATTTCAGCCCGCTACGACAAGCCGTTTAGCGTGCACTTCGAAAAAACCTCAGGGGGGGGGGTTGATACAACCCCCCCCCCTAGGCGTTCTAGGGTTAAAGGTAGTGTGCCACCTTTGAAAGATTTCCCGTTTTATTTTTCCTAGGATAAGAAGCTTCTATTTTTACCTAATATCGCAAAAAAAATAAAAAATGGGCCTGGAATAGTGCCTTTTTCGCCTAAAAGTTTATCGGTTTTTAGATATGTATAACAACTGTAGTGGGCTCACCTGCAAACAGGCGTCGGGCAACAATCGCGAATGCGGCGCACTTGTGACAATAAGCAAAGGTCATTATAGTGTTACGACCATACGACGTACGGGAATGAGTTATCAGCTGTCTAATCGTAGACAACACAATGTCGAGCCTTAAACTGTAAGCCTGTATTGGTATTGTTTCTTAAATTTGGCTGTCGAACATTAATTTGTGGTTCGAAATATGATTTTATGTAAAATAATTGATATGAAACAGCCGTCTCTTAAGTTATGACCCCATTACACCACACGCAAGTGGCAGAAATGACAATGATCAGCTGACGCATTTTTCTTGGCCGAAGTCAGAGCGCGCGGCCCGACGCACCACGCGTATTTGGAAATTCCGACCTCGACGAGCATCAGAAGCCACCTAACAGGCGTGTTCGAAACCGCAGGAGATGATGATGAACGGGTTTATCGAAACTTGATTGGATGAGCCTATCGGTAATAGCGATTTTAGTGTGTGCATTTATTGTTCATAGCAGGGCCTATTTTAACATGTTAACTGGGGGGGCAAATGCCCCCGCACTCAACAGAATTGCCCCCCTAGTCGTCGAGATTTGCCCACTATAAAAATGGGCATAAAGGAACAGGGTGACAAACATACTACGTAACTACTGTGACTTGTTTTGCAATGGATGTCAAATGAGTCAGTCTGTAAGTAATGACCAGTGGTGTATCTAAGCGTGGGTCATATGGTTCATGACCCCCCACCCTCTTGGGGCCCGGGGACACCACAGGCCTGCCAGGGGCACCACCGGCCTGTCAGGGGCACCACAGGCCTGTTGGGAGCACCATCAACCTAGCAAGAGCACCATAGGTCTGCCAGGGGCACCACAGACCTGCCAGGGGCCCCACCGGCCACGCAGGGGCACCACCTTGGGCCTGTCAGGGGTACCACCACAGGCCCGCCAGGGGCACCATAGGCCTGCCAGAGGCACCATAGGCCTAGCAAGGGCGCCACGGACCTGTCAGGGGCACCAGAGGCCTAGTATGGACACCACATGCCTGGCAGGGACACCACCGGCCTCGCAGGGACTGGGACACCTTGGGCCTGTTAGTGGCACCTTGGGCCTGTTAGTGGCACCACGTGCCTGTCGGGGACACTCCAGGCTTGTCAGGAGCACCACAGTCCTGTCAGGGCCCAGGGGCACCACCGGCCTCACGTGGACACCACCGGCCTCGCAAAGGCATCATGGGCCTGTCAGGGGCACCACGGGCCTGTCGTTGGAACTTCAGGCTTGTCAGGGGCACCACAGTTCTTTCAGATGCACCGGCGGCCTAGCACCATGGCACCATGTTTGGCCGAGGTCGCATTCGGCGTATGTCGCCTCGCATTAGCCGCGCGTTTGCAGTCTTTTCGTGGTTTCAAACGTTCAAACATGGGATATGATGTTGCTCCCATGCATTAGGGTGGGTGTCAAGATCACCGGAAGGTCAGGTCAGATCATTTACCTTTGATGACCTCGGTTCACATTTTCGAGTTTTATATGTTTCTAGGCTAGTTTTTGGAGCTGAATTCGAATTAAGCAACCATTTGACCATTTACGAAGTAGTTTTGGTGCCTTCGTAACATGTTACGAAGCTGTCAGAGGCGGTTGCCACCTACTACGAATACCCGGCAAAACCCTTACTGGTTGACCTGACCTGGCCTAAATGCATGAAGACATCATCTATGATCATAGCTAACATGATATTCGTGATCAGCACCCCGAAAAACCATAGCAGCCACTCTTTACGACGCTCTAACAGGTCCCGATTTTCCCGACTTTTGGGTCAATGACCTGACCTGGAAGGTCAACCGATGACCTAGGACCTTAAAATTGGGTATAATCGGCTTCCTTTCATCACGGGCAACACGGTCGTTTTTTCCGCGAAGCTCTAGCTCGATCAGGGGCGAAACGGCAAGGGGGAGGGTCCAACGGACCCCCCCCCCCCTATACGCTCGCTACTGGAAACACCACGGGCGTAGGAACGTCATGAAAAGTGGGTGGGCCACCCTGTCAAGGGGCCTCCTTTTCCAGGGGGCCTCCTATTTTCAGGGGCCTCCAACTTTTGCCTCGTCCTGCTGGCTGCTTTCAAGTATGACGTCCAAATCTAGCTTCTGAGATTGGGCAGATGTACCCAGGGGCGTAACCGCTTAAGCGAATAGTGCAGAAAGTCCGCACCATTTTTAAAACTTGCTCCCCTCCGATTTTTTTTAAGAATGTATTTGCCGCAAACGGCGCATGACCCCTGAAAACCCTTACACAAATGTCTTTCTCGTTTCCCAGGTGCCCCCATTAGCTTCATAGGCGCCCTCTTTGGCATATAAGCGCCCTATGCATAGTCATCAGAGACATCCCTATATGTCCCACAGTCGCCCCATTGTCGCATACAATGTGCGCTTATTATAGGCGTCTCTCTTTTATGGACACTTGAAGGCACCTCTCTTTGCCATGCCGGCGCCCCTGTTTCTTATGAATGCACCCCCATGGCATTGATCAATTGCAATTTGCAGACCTCTATTGCATGTGGACGCCCATGTAGGCCTCAGAGGCGCCCCTCTTTCGCATTGAGGCGCCCCTATGGGCTTCATAGGCGCCCCTCTATTGCACGTAGGTGCCCTACTGTCTCAGAACCGCTCCCCTTTGGCATGGAGACGCCCATCTTTCGTACGGAGGAGCCGCTGTGGTTCTTGTAGTGTA